AGGGAAAGACAAAGTCACTTTCCTCTTGTCCCTCAAATCTGTCTCCTTTACGCTCTCTGGGTTTTCTTCACAGAGCTCATTTACTCTTTTCCCGTCTCTACAAGAATACACAGTCTGCATAAGCAGGAACTACCTTGCTTCCTTTTTATTTGGGAAAAGGGGTGTGCTGGTATTGCGCCCAGGACCTGTTTCATGCTCTGTGCACCCTGCTGCTGTTTCTGCCCCTGTGTTTGTAAATAAATGTAGTTTCATGACTCAGAACACCTGCCCACAGTAGGTATTCAACTGATGCTGGCTGCATGTACGTTGGCCAAACCAATAAAATCAAAGTCAAAGCGTCCAGAACAAGCTTCCTCTGCATCTCATCAGAGCAATTGAACCAAATGCCAGAAAGCCTGGAGTGCTTCAGAGAAATCACTCTAGAAGCAGGGTGCATGTGTTTTCTCCAGAGCCTGCTGGCCCATAGTTTGCTGGTCCTAGCACATGAGGCCAGCCGACTCAGCAGAATCTGCAAGCATTTAGCATGCACACATCTTTTAGGTGAATGGAAATAATGAGGAAATGCATATGTGTCCATGTGTTAAGAAGAAAGGATGAGAAAAAATCCATCTTATATTGTGAGATTACTGGTCAGGGAGATACTTTTGGGGGGTGAGGACCACTTAAACAGCCAGAATGCCTAGGTCAGCCTCTGCCATTTGTGTAATTATCACCATGCTGCCGGCCTCTTTCAATTTTAACGTTCTCCCTCCACCCAACAAGTCTGAAGAAAGCATTTGCCTTAGCAGTTTCTAACTTAGTGGCATTAACGTGGTATGTAATGTTCGTGCTGGGGATCTCTTTTACTTTTTACTCAATATTTATATATTTACCTTTAAAAATATCACTATCTTCTTATAGGTATTGAACAGATACCAACTCTCATGATCATTGTGGAAAGAGAAGTCTTTAGGAGCCATCTTTAAGCATCTACTGGACAGCTTCCATTCTTAGAGATGTACTGGTCCCATTTCTCCAGTGGGTGTGAGCATGTTCACGACTATGGGTTGGTATTTTTGGCCGATTATGTTTATGCCAGAATGAAAACCTAAGGATCCACACTTTTCATTTCAATGACTGAAACATCCTTCTTGTTGGCCTCAGATTTTATTTTGTTTCTTAATTTCTTAGAATCTCATTGTTTGTTTGAACTCACTCTTTGTGTCCTATAGGGTTTACTTATTTTGACAAACACAAGGTATATTGTATCCACCACTAAGGCGCTTTATCAAATAGATTCAGTGTCCTGAAAATGTCTTGACCCTAAATCTTCATCCTCTCATCCTTCTCCCTGTATCCTTGGCAACCACTAATCTTTATTACAGAATACAGAGTTTTGCATTTTTTCAGTAAGTCAAGTGGTTTGTATCACACTGTTGAAGTCTTTCCAGACGAGTTTCCTTAGTTGAACAATATGTGTTTAATGTTCCTCTGTGGCTTGATAGGTCATAAAATTGTATTTTAATATTTATTTATTTAACTTACTTATTTATATTTTTATTCAGTGTGCTTTTGTGCATACATATGCTTGCAAAGACAACTACTTCTTCTAGGACACTGAGGCCCGTGGATGGCTTGAGCAGAAAAGAACACTGAACATCAAAGTCAGAGTTGCCAGCATTCTACCCACGCTAGGACAAGGCTGCCGTGTGTCAGTCTTGGGCAATTCCTCACCCAGCTTCCTGCAGTAGCCAGGCTTCTCCTGAGGACCAAGGGGCAGCTGATAACCTAGCACCAAAGTCTAGCCGGTCTGCAAATGTCAGCAAATCTTGTGGAAGCCTATTTTGTGCCCAGACCTCTGTAAAGCTGCTTAGGGTAAACCAGAAGAGCAGAGTTCTTGCTCTCCCTGAATTAAACTCTGGCCAAGAAGGGTAGACAGCGGCATGTGGCAGACCTGAACGGACTTCTGCTTTCAGGTGTGTTCAGAGACAGAGTTAACGGAATACCTGCTCACACACACCAGATGTTCAGAGACAGAGTTAACAGAATACCTGGCCACACACACACCAGATGAAAGTAGTGAGAAGAATGACGCAGACACACTGTGTGCTAGGGAAGCTCTCGTGGATGGGACAAGGAAGTTCCGATAATCCAGCATAGATTAACACAGCCCACTGTCAGGTGCACTGCGGGGGACCTACAGGGTTGGTGAAGCACTTAGCCAACTTTTGAAACTGAGAAACTCTACACAAAAACCCAGACTTCATTCTGGACATGGACAGTAAAGACCAAACATTAAATCTAGACACACTCATTGTCAGTATGTATGCAGAGTAGCACAGTCACTTGGGAAGAAAATTTGTGTTCCTTACAAAATTAAATATGCCTTATCGTATAACTGAAGTCAGGCGTCTTGGTGTTTCACCAAGTTAGATGAAAACTTACAGACACAAGCATCCATGGGGATTCTTAAGCAGCCTCATTCATAATTGCCAAAGCTTGGAAGCAAAGAGGATATCTGTCAGTAGATGGTAGTGGATAAACTGTTCTCTACCCCACGAACTCTCATCACTCAATAATAAAGCGATGTAAAGTGGAGCCCGGGAAATGGCTCAGTGGGCGATGGTACTTACTCTCAGATCTGATGATGTGAGTTCTAACTCAGGAAGGAGAGAACTGAGAGTAACAACGGATCATGAATAGCAAGCATGTTTCTTTCATTATGATTTCTACATGGTCATGATGATCCACGAGTGTGCAATGGAAAATGGGAAAGAGTGAGTGAACTGAGAGGAACAGGCAGTCTCCTAGCGACTTGACCCTCACAATACACCCAACTAATCGACGAAGGGAATGACAATCTTCCGCCCCCACTCTGCCCCCACTCTTGTCTCCATCTGCACCAGATGTTTCTGAACATCTCAAAATGACAAGTATGGGGGAAGTGAGAGTCTGGGTTGTGACTCTGCCCAAACATCACAGCATGGTGTGCTGACAGACACTCTGAGAACTAATTGACTCAAGGAAGGCAGTGGTGTCTGTCTGTCAGGGCTGCTAAATTTCCATCTGTGGTCCGTTCAGGAAATCTTGAGGCAGGAAAAACTGGAGGGGAGGACTCAAGAGCATGCTTTGGGTTAGGAACGGCCCATGAACCTGCTGCAGAGTTTCCAGGGCCTTTGGCACAGCCTTCACACAGGGGTGAACAGAAGCAGGCACCCGGGGCAGTTCCAATGCATCTCTTCCCTGACCTCCAGACTCATAGGAATTGTCCAGCGACTCACTCGGCCTGGAGGCAGCAGTTTTGTGGGAAAAAGAACCAGAGTTCTACTCTAGTCTCTTCCAAAGACAAATAGGTACAACTATTTCTGATGTCACCCTCCCTCCATTCCCTGGAAAAGTCCTGAATCTGTACCAGGCAGAAAACCCATAGCTTTCATGAAGCAGACTAAAAGATCCCAATAAATAATGAAAGCCCAGATCATATATGGATACCCTTAAAAATATCCCAAAACCCCTCCTACAGGCCCAGCTTAAAGGACATATCCCTTTTGCATTTTGCTGCTAAACAATCTCTTGGTATACACTGTACTCAGCAATGACTCAGGGACCCAAGCTACCAGCTGCTAATAGCAAAGATTAAAGACTTGGTTAGTAAAATCAAGAGTATTAAGCAACCTAGGACATAAATTCAACTTTGCCCATGCTGAGCAAGGAATAGCTGTAACATATGCAGCTCACTGACTTAAACCAACAGAAGATGAGAGAACCAAGGGAGGAGTAGGGCAGGAGGTATAAAAGGGGGCAGATAGAGGAGTTCCGGGAGTGGAAGCGCTGAAGGACTAAGGAAGGATGTGCTTGAGGAAGCAAACAGCAAGGCCAGAAGACTCCAAGGGCAAGCCCAGCTACGGGAAACCAGAGGAGACCCTGCCCACATGCTGCAGACATTCAACTACTCTACACTCTAGATGCACCAGATAGCAGGCCAGCAATTCAGCTTCGGGAACGCTATGGTTTAAAGCTGCCAGTAACCAAGGAGAGTCCTACCTTGCTTAGTTTTAGATTTCACTTCAGTCTGTCATTACATTTCCTTTATAAACACTTTATAAGTCAGTTTTGGAGTTGCTTTTCTCTTAAGCATTAATATCCCTTACTTTGTTCTAATAAAAACACCAGGCCCATTTCGTGAATGGCGAATATGTAGCATGGCGGGGACCTTAGGGTGCTATCACGCAGCCGCATGCAGAGGGACAGGGAAGAGGTGCTGCTGTCCGCATTATCCTGAAGTTGGTGTCTCAAGAGAAACAACTGCCTACAGAGAGCCCAGGACAGAGCCTCAATCTGTTCTCACTAGAGAAAAGCGAAGTCAACTGTTTCCCAACTCTCGTGCAGCTGGTGGCTGAGTGTCCAGCTGCTCTGGTTAGAGTTCACATTCTTTCCACAAAGACGCTAGCTGACACAGTTTATGTCGAAGAGCATGCTGGGCAGTGTGCGTTGAAGTCACAAGAGAGAACTTTCTGGCCCTTGCTGAATAGCTTCTTGGGAGGATTGGACAGCTAACCCAATACTTTATCTTGGCTCCAAGTGCTCAAAGCCCCAAATGGAACAAAAAATGAAATGGCTCTTGTGCTTTCCAGTCTTCACTGAGAGGTCACGATCTCACGAAGGTTTGGTAATGGGGAGACATAAATGGCTATTCTACACCAAGTGTTCTCCTGTATGGAAGCAGACACAGAACTAGCATTGAACATTGCCCAGTAACCAGCACAGGTAACAGCCATCACCGAAGCCATCTCAGCAGCACAATGCATCACAGATCAACGCTAAGAAGCAGTATGCTAACACACTCCTTGATGGTGATGATGCTAAAGAAAAATCCACAACAAACCAGCCAAGTTCCAAGTTCAGGGAGAAGAGTGTAATCGTGTTCATGGAACAATGACCCAAAGTCAGGTTGAGTCAGAAATTTTGGCAGAGTGGATCATCAGAGCCAGTGGGAAGCAGACATCAGCTATCATACTTACAGTGAGTTGGGCCGAGCAGGTTTGACCACATCCAGGTTTGGGTCGCTGGAGTTCATATTAGGCTGCAGGCTGCTGCTAGAATTAAGGGTGCTGTTTGCACTTGAGGAGACTGATTCCAAACTGGAGTTGATGATGCTGTTCCTTTGCTCCTCTGAGGAGAGAAAACGACAAAAAGGCCCATATAAATGTTAATAGAATGGGGAGAGGCTGCTTCCACACATGGAAAAATTTACAAATAAGGAGTCTAAATTGTAATAGCTGAAGCTTTAAAAAAAGCACAGAGAAGCCAGGTACAATAACACATGCCTGAATCCTTAATATTCAGAAGGTGGAGGCGGGAGGATTAGTTCATTGCTAACTTGGGCTATTCGAGTAAGACTGTTTCAGAAACAAACAAGCCAACCAAACAATAAAAATGGGATGTGGGAAGGACAAGGTTTAAGAGCAGCAATGGGAGTGGGGGCAGTGAGGTAGTTCTGTGAGGAAAAGCACTGGGCATCAAGTACCAGTCCTTGGAACCCACACGAAGGGATAGATCATGCTGTGTGTACCTACACAGATGCCCTTACTCTCCCTCTCTCTTTCTACCCCCCTCAAAAGAATATGAAATGAAACAAAGAAAGAATTGGAAAGGAACGATCAAAGGGGAATTCATCACATAGGGTTTAAAGCAAAGCTTTTCCTCATGTTGAAGGGATGTACACCCCACACCTTCCATATGAGCCAGGTTCTTTCCTGATGACAGACCTATCGTATGACTTCACCTAACTTGTGCCTTCTTTGGAATCACTGATGGTGACACAGAGAGGACCTCATAGACAGCTTGTGATCAGCCAAAGTTTCTTCTAAAACCCCTGCCTCTAACACTGCCCTAAGTGCTTAGGCCATGCCATCCACAGCTCATCACCATACACTATCAATTTAGCAATTAATTTCCTTAGAACTCAGGCAGACTAACTTGATGTCCACATCCTAGAAACATCTGTCTGCCTCCACAGTGATACATTAGAGATTTAATTTCAAGTTAATTCTTTAATAAAGAGAGTTATAAGAGCTGCACAGACAACTTGATTCTCATGGTGTAAGCTACTGTATTCATATTTGGAAATTACTAGTAGAGAACCTGAAGTTCTTCCAAGAGTTAGCATCTGACTGGCAATGTGGCCTAAGGGATATCCCATGTGTCCTTAAATTCTTTTTCAGTTTAAGGCTTTTTTATTTTTGTTTGTATGCATGGGTGTTTTGCCTATATGTATGCCTGTGTACTACCTGCAAGCCCTAATGGACCTGGAACCAGAGTTGCAGACAGTTGTACGCAGCTATGTGTGTACTAGGAATTCAACCTGGGTTCTCTATGAGAACAGCTGGAACTCATAACCCCTGAGCTATCTCACTCCAGGCTCTGACCTCAGAGTCCAGATGAATCTATGAAATGGGGAGAAGAGAGCTGCCCTGTACAGCTCATAAGTCGTCACAAGGATCAAGTGGGATCATATGCTGGAATGTGTTTCATAAACACTGAAATACTGCTCAAAGAGAGGAACTTTCTGTTTCTTCTCATCTTAAAAACCTTGGAAGCAAGAAATGAAGGACATGGGGGATGATGCAGCTAAATGGCATGGGTACCACTGGTGCAGCAACATGTTACAGACCCGGAATGCCCATCTTCCCTCATTCCAGAGTCACTGGGCAGCAACTGGTGTTGCTGCCATTATTTCATTTGTCAGGAATCGATAGGTTAATTCTTCTGGAGCCTTCATATACAAAGGCATGCTATATATCAAAGGGACAGACTGGAATCGCTGACATATTCATTTATAGATGAACATTTGAATTCAGGTCTCTTTTGGGCAATAAAGAAATGAGTGCATTAAGCATTTTCCTTCGGGGGATGGAGAGATAGCTCAGTAAGTAGTGAGGGAAAGGAAGGGGGGCATAGAAAGGAGAGCAGGGGAGGGGGAGAAGGGGAAAGGGAGGGAAGGAAGGACTGCAACAGACCAGTGAGCAGGGACTTACTACCACCAATAAAAAAATGAACTCCTGCCTTGTACACCAGTGAGCTCGGGGAAAAGGAAGTGGACACTAGCAGAAGGGATAAGCCTCTGCACCACACACACACACACACACTCACACACACACACTCACACTCACACACACTCACACACATACACACACTCACACACACTCACACACTCACATTCACACACACATACACACACTCACACACACACACACACACGCTCACACTCACACATGCACACTCCCACCCAGAAGAGAAGACTGAAAATCTCCGGGCAGAAGTTGTTCTGATATGCTGACAGTCTTGATTGAGGGTTAGTAGGAAGGTGGATAGAAATGTCAAGATTATTCCAGAGCTCGAGGGTCATGGGTAAAATCAAAAGCAAACGGAACGTTTAAATGGTTACAGCAAACTGCACCAAGACAAACTCTAAAGCATTTGGAATGAATTAAGAAATAAAGGAAAAATGACTCAGTAATGTCACTTAGGTAAGGGGACATTCCCCCTGTGGGCAAAGGAATACTTGCTTCTGAGACAAAAAGCAGAAGACTAGAAGACTTCCTCCAATGAAAAGGAGATACCCTTTCACATAAGGGAACTAAACATCTGAGTCCAGATGACAGGCTCACTCTGGCAGCACCAACAGAAGCTAGAATGGGGGTTATCTAGTTGCTGGAGGAAAATAAATTATAGCTAAGGGTCTTCAAAGGAGACCAGTAGCCAGTCAGTCAACAGCATCACAGAGGACCATGTGAGTGACAAGAAGACCCAATCAGTCAACAGCATCACAGAGGACCATGTGAGTGACAGGAAGACACAGTCAAGCCAACAGCATCACAGAGGACCATGTGAGTGACAGGAAGACCTAGTCAGTCAACAGCATCACAGAGGACCATGTGAGTGACAGGAAGACACAGTCAGTCACAGCATCACAGAGGACCATGTGAGTGACAGGAAGACACAGTCAGTCAACAGCATCACAGAGGACCATGTGAGTGACAGGAAGACCCAATCAGTCAACAGCATTACAGAGGACCATGTGAGTGACAGGAAGACACAGTTAAGCCAACAGCATCACAGAGGACCATGTGAGTGACAGGAAGACCAAGAATGCAGATCTCAGGGGCGTTCAAAGCTGACTGGAGTCGGTGAGAGCGCTGGCCTTCCTCAAATTTGTTGTCAGTGAATACCTCTTTGTATATTAGTCACCAAAGGTAGGAGCACAGGAATGAGGAGGTGGAGGGATAAACTGCCAGTTGTAAACATGCGGCAGGAATGTGCTGGATGCTTCTATGAAAATAGATTTTAAAGCACTGCAGAAGATTCAGACTTACTCTTAATGACATAAACTACTCAAGGGTAGGCATAGGCTATCTGGCCACACAGTATCTATTAAAATGACCTGAGAGGTCAGAGGTTTCTGGTGTATAGTCCATGCATTCCACACACCAAAGCCTCATGAACGGTCACACACTAAGTCAAAATAGAAGAGAATAATATGCAATCAAATTTTCTTCATCCGGAACAGAGAGAGGTAGCTGTGTGGGACTGAGTTTTACAGGTGCTTCAGCCAGGGACCTTGAAACCAAGGCACTGGTGAGTGTGGGCAGCGTTTATGTTTTCTATAAAAATCAAGAGTGGAGAACACAAGCATGCAGCCAAATCACTTCAACTAAAAAAGGAAAGCCACAGAGCAATTTTGGTGATGTTGTACTTGGTCTGTGGGTTGCCATGGAAACGTGGAAGCTAAGCTCCAGCACTTTTCATATTTACTAAGTGACTCCAACTCACTCTAATGGCAACCCCATCCAACACAGGAGGCGGGATGTGTTTATCACAGAGCCCACAGGCAAAGGCTGGGAAACACAGAGCCAAGACAAATGCACAGGTCTTGGCAGGCTTGAACTTGTCTGGCCCTCTGAGCACACAGAAGTTAAGGGTAAACACAAAACACAGATCTCTAACACTATAAGGGATATTTCCCACTCTACAGAAGCCTGTCAAAATTTGGGCTAATATGTCATTTTTCCATAATGCAAAATACTAGAGGTTGAAAGACAGACTCATGATACCTCACAGAGTCAAATCTCTCCACCTCCCTCTCCCTCTTCCCAAGTTCAAACACGAAATGAGGAGAAAAGGGAGTTACCAGACAGGCACTTTACAGAGACCATGAGTTTTACACAGAGAACAGAGACGCACAAGCAAAACCCCCAGAGGCATTCTTGTGCTATAGCTGGGAGAGAGGTGCACTCTCCTCTGTTTGTCAGAGTTTTGCAATGAAGTCTGTGATGCATCATCTTGACAAGATAGGATGATAATAGCATGGCAGCTCAATGAATTTTGCAATAAAAATGATGAATGCACAGCAGTTACTGAATCTGCCATTTCTGGGAAACACCCAAGTACATGGGAAGCTTGGACCCAAACTTGGTGACTGTGTGGTGATTCTTTTTCACACTATAGCTTTCATGCCTGACAGCAGAGCAGACCAAGTCAGAAGAAAAGCCAAAGTGGCCTGATCTCATGCTGACTCGGTCTCAGTCCCTGTGGTGAAGTTTAATCATATGAATAGTTTGTATAATATGTTTAGGCATATAAAAACAGCAGCTTGGGCAAGGAGTGATAGCTTAAACAAGGGTTTGATGAGGGAGAAAGAAGCATGGCCAGTGTATAGCTCAATCATCTCTGCAGCACCTGATACTGTGACTTTAAAGCCCAGGTTGCTTCAGTGAACAGCTCGGCCCACCATGGACTGGCTGACTTATGCACTCTCTTTCTGTAGTGCTCATAATAACATTTTCCTTTCAATGGAAGAAAATGTAAGCAAAAGCACATTTTAAGAAAGAGTGGGCCGCAAGTGAACTGACTCACAGGAACGAGGCATAGAGGCACAACAGAGAAGCCTGGTCCTGAGACTACCCCTATACGGAGGGCTGCAGACCTTCCTCTCAATGGCTGTGCTGGGAACTGAATGATTAGAAGTAAGCAAACTTTGCTGCCTACACTGCTGTGCACTGCTAGCAAAAATCTATGTATAATTTATTTTTATACCGTGAATCATTATAAATTGGCTTGGCATAGTAAATAGATGATGCAATTAGAGAACTCTGTTTGTAATAAGAAAAATT